ACGGCTGTGGTTGTGGCCAGATTAGATCTATTTCTATTTTTCTGGCGACAGATAAGGTTCTTCCTCTTCTTTTATGTCAAACTCATCAAATTCATGATGTCGCTGCCGCGTTCAAAGAAATCATGTCGCCATCGACAAAGCGTTTAGATAATGAAAATGACAAATTGGAAGCTGTGGTCTGTAGCTCGGCGTTTTCAATGTGTTCAGAACTATAAGGTTCTTCCTCTTCTTTTATGTCAAACTCATACAAATTCATGATGTCGCTGCCGCGTTTAAAGAAATCATGTCGCCATCGACAAAGCGTTTAGATAATGAAGATGACAAATTGGAAGCTGTGGTCTGTAGCTCGTTGTTTTCAATGTGTTCAGAACTTAAGAAGCCGATTGTGTACATGTGAAAGGCCGAATATAGTTCGTTTCCCAGGAAAGTGTTTGGCGGACACTGATTTAAAGCAAACAAGCGTGAGCTAAAAACAGTGGTCGGCGCTTCATACCACAATCAGTGTTGCCGCGAAACATTTTTAGCGGTAGCTAAATTCAGGCTAAAAAAGGGCTAAAAAAGAGCTAAAAATCGTCGTTGTGGCTAAAAATGGTAGCTAAATTTTTTACCTACATATAAATATATAAGTATACACGCAAACATTTTCTATAAGTAATAATATAGAAAAACAATGAACTCTGGAAAGAATTAATATTTTATTCAACAAATAAACTTGTTGTGTAACACATAAAGCATATTAAGGGCCGCCAACTTACCTATTTTAAAGTATAGTTAAATCGTTAATGGATAAGATAACGGCCCAGAAACGTAAAAAACATACATATACGTATGTATGTACAGTTTAAAAATTAATTTCTTACATAAACAAAAAAATGAGATCACATTAAGAATACATAAGTACTAGAATCATATCTAAATACAGTGTCGGACAATACTAAATAACTTAAATAATTTCAAACTATGCTTCGAAAAATATCCATTTGTAAAAGAAATTTTTAAAATGTTATGTTATAATTTACAAAGAATTAAAATGTCGGTGCTTTATTATTGTCAGACGCTGTATGTATCAAACAAACAAAAGAGTATTCATTTAATAAACTCATAGTAAAATAATTTAATCTATAAACATTTTTTTTAACACATTAAATATTTATATCTATATCAATACTATCATCGCTAAGCGATTCTTCGTCGTTACAATTTTGTTCATTTCTCATTAACCTGACGATAGCATCTGTAAAATCAAAATCATGACAACATTTCTGTACATTTTTTAAGCCATATCTTACAGTTAATAAAGCGTTTAACATTGCAAAATTCATTTTATTTCTGTGCTTATTTTTAACGAAATTTATTATAGAAAACGTCCTTTCAACTTCTGCGTTACTTAAAGGTAAAAGAAGCAACCGATAAACAAACTTTTTCCACCACTTAAGCTAGCGACACAATGAACAGTTTATTTGCCTTAAAGGAAAGGCGTTCGCTTTATGAGCGAAGAGTTAAATTCATGAAAATCATATAAAAAATTTCAATGTCAATGATGAGTAAATTTTGAAAAGGGCTAAAAAAAGGGCTAGGGGCAATTTCAAATTTTTGTGGCCACAAAAAGAATTTGGTAGCCAAATTTAGCCACCAAAGGGCTAAAACGGCAACACTGACCACAATTGTGGACGATCACTTCACACGAATACTTAAAGGCTCTGTTATGCATACTTGGCAGTGCATGCACTGCTATACCATTTTTACGTGGAAATCAAAAACCAACAGACTTCTACGTATGTAATGCTGTGCGTTGGGAACAGCTTACACGCGGAGCTCATTTAACAGATTCCTTATGAGCCTTAAGGCTCTGTTATGCATACTTGGCATTGCATGCACTGCTATACCATTTTTACGTAGAAATCAAAAACCAACAGACTTCTACGTATGTAATGCTGTGCGTTGAGTAAAGCTCAGAACACTTTGACGACAGCAAGCGACAAGCAGCATCTGTCAAATTTTAAATACACACGTTCTTACGGACACAATTATTTTGACGACAGCACGACATCTTGGCTGCAGGACTGCAATTGTCGACGTCGCCAAATTAAATCTATTTCTAATTTTGCCGGCGACAATGAGTAGATGTAGTGCTGCAAAATTAAATTGTCGCAAAATTAATCACATATTCTTGATTGTTCATGTTTTTCTTATTTACTTAAATAAAAATACACAATTTGTGAAATAAATATACCAAAATGTCAAACTTTAAAATCGGCTGTTTGCTATGTCGCT